CTTCGTATGGCAAATTTTCTTCCTCCTGTTGCAATTCTAGTTCGTCCTGGGAAAGGGAAGATTAAGAAAACATTTAAAACACACGTGTAGCTGGTGTGCTGGTGTACCCTTTAATCCCAGCACTCAGGAAGCAGAGGCAGGTGGGTCTCTGAGCTGAAGGCCAGCCTGGTCTGTATTTAATTATTGTATCTTAAGGCCCAGTGTGTCTTATTTGCCTCAGATATATTTATACTAGCACTCATTTAAGTCTTTAGATTTACTTTTTAAAAAAAGTTTTTGTTGATGTACTTATTTTATGGGTGTTTTGCCCTATCAGAAGAAGGCCTCAAATTCCCGGAACTGGAGTTACAGATGGTTGTGAGCCACCTTGTGGATGTTGGGGACTGAATCTAGGTCCTTTGCAAGAAGAGTAGCAAGTGCTCTCAACCACAGAGCCATCTCTTTAGCCCTATTTTTATTATTTTTAAATTATGTGTAGTAGGCATGTGTGTCCGCATGTTGGTATGTACACGAGTGCAGGTGCCTATGGACAGACGTGCAGGTGCCTATGGACAGACATTGGAAACTCAGGTTTTGTTAAGTGGGTAGGGAAGGGACATGTGTGCGTGTGTGTGTTTGAAAAAGTCATATGGACATCAACTATTTTATAAGATACTCAAATATATAGACATATATAAAAAAGAGTTTAATTCACACAGAAGCCATGGGTTGCAAAATAAAAATCCCAGTGCTGGTGTGGGATATCTCCTCTTGAGTCAGGGGTGTCAAGAAGACCCCCCAAAATAGGCTATTATCATTGTTCTTGGTTGCCCACCAGAACCTGATGGTAGATGCAATCACTAGGGATACACACACTTGAGTCACAAGATATGGAGAAACTGAACTGACACTAACCAGAAAGTTTCCTCCCTGCTGCTAGCTTTTATAAGGCTGGAAAGTGCTATGTAGGCGGCTGGGGGGAAAAAACAAACCAAAACTCACCAACACCTTTCTCTAGTTGTGAACCTCATCATACAGTAACAACTGGCCTGGCAAGGTATTTGTATGGTGGTTAGTACAGAGTCAATTGGGCAAAGCGTCAAGTATCTGTAGAAAACTCAACCATAAAAGGACATCTATATAGGCAACATATATAAATAGTAGAAAAGGGGATGAGGGATAAAAATATTGTAAGAGCCAGAAACTGCAGAGGACCTAGATGAATCAGTGTCTTCTGGACATGCCAGGACTGCTGTACTCATGAACTTAACAAAAGGTCAAGCCAGTCAACATTCCATCATGGAAGGTGAAGAGACTCAGGAGTTCCCCATCCCTAGCTGAGGAACTATTAAGAGATGGCTGAGGAGCTATTAAGAGATGATGTTGCTGGCGGGGGGCGGGGCGTCTTTCTTTAGGAGTGTGGTTCCTGGTAAGTTAACCATGGTCCATGGGAGGGGAGATGGAAGAATGGAAGGTGGAATGGATGCATCATAATTAGGGGTTAATGTGATCAAAATACACCATACACATGCATGAAATTCTCGAAAGATTAGTAGGGAACTATATTAAATCAAAAGAAGTAAGGTTTAACTTGGCTTCTTTTAGAAATGATTATACAACTGCTTTGGAAGCCCTTGAGTTGTCAAAGTACTTTAACTTTATTATCTTGTGCAACAATGTCATACAAACATGACTGCTGCAGCCCCTCAAAATCTGCTGCATTTCTATTACTTAATGTTTATAATATACTTATCTTTTGCTGTTATGAAAGGTATTGCTAGTACTTAGCAATAATTATATTGTTTTATATACATAATCATGTAAGCGACATACTCTTATATAAAATGAGCAAGTTGATACGAGTCTTTAACTGCAAACACAAATGTTACGCAAGGATTTTAGCACATCTTTAAATTCAGCTTTCTAAATGAAATGAATTTATTAGAAGGATTACTTTCCTCAACCACGTATACAACTATCTTATTTGCTGTCTCTTTCCCTACTTGCCTTGTATTCTTCGACTTTGTCTTCATCTGTAACACCTTCATCCAGGCACTTCCGTTTAGAATTTGGAGCAGTTGTATCATAGGAAGCCCTAAAAAGTAAACTGCAACTGTCACACAAGAAAATACAAAAGGATCTGCTTATATTACTATTAACAAGTTATAGGAACAAAGTCAAATGTTTCCTGATTAAGTATCTATTTATTCAGCTTATAAATCATCCAAAGCATCACAGGCAATAATTTGTAGCTTATTTTTATAAGAAGGCAACCAAGTGAAAAAATAAGCTACTATAAATACTGTATTATGAAAAGAAACTTTTAAACTATGTGTCCTTTCTGCTAGTTTATGTATATTTTATATTATCAACTGTAAGCAAACGGATACACTTGATAAACTAGGATTTTAAAGATTATGAAACATTTTCTGAATTATCAAATAAATATCATTTTTAAATTGTACTTTTACAATTTCATAAAATTATTATTTATAATTTAACATTACTTATGGTATGTAAAGCTAATTCTTAGTATAAAATTTCAGTTCTACCTACTTTATAAAAGGGAACTTAATGTTTTCAGAAGGCAAATATTTCATAATTTCAAGCTGACATTAAAAACTGCTTCCAAAATCTGTTTTCACACTTTTCCTAGCAACAAATTCATACCTACAATTAACTTCATTGAGAAACCAACCCTTAATCGGTGGTTCCAGTTCTCATGAGGCTCAGGCAGAGGTGTTGCTAGGCCAGCATGGGGTACATAGCATGACTATGTCTCACTCCCCTAAATAACCTCCATGAATAAGTCACAACTACAAAAATCAAACAAACGATCCTTTCCCACCATAAACATGTCACTGAAATGGCTGCTCAACATACCTGCAATTTTCTCGTGTTTCAGCAATTTCCCTCTGCTCATCTTTGCTATTTAACACAGCACCAATGCTATCTGCACTTTCAGCTCCCAGCTAGGAAGCAAAAGCCCAGTTAGTTCAGAAGGCACTGTTCATACACTGCAGAATGTGCTGATAAGTTTAATACACCAAATATTTTATAAAAGCAACAACTCCCATAACATACTATCAATAGGCTTGCAAGGTAAACTGGAAGTGAACTGGAAGATCCTTTTAATTAAGAATGACTTTGTCTGCTGGAAAATACTTGATGTATTTGGTTATATTTAAAATTAAGATGACTTCTTTTAGACTTTTTTGAATAAAACACAATTTAAGAATAGTAGCAATAACCAAAAAAGGCAAAGCACTTCATATGGACTGCTTCATAAACCATCCCATGGTCTCACAAGAATTTATTCCATTTTATTATAGAAAAAATTTTAATAAAGCTTACTAATAGCTTTAAAAAAATGGTAAAGTCAACTTTCGGTGGCCACTGGGGAAATTCTGCAGAATGCAACAAATGTAAAAAGGCTAAGCTGAATAAAGCCAATTCACAGGGAACTTTCCAAGCCAGACCAAGGGCACAGAAGAGCATGAGGAACTCTCCTTGGTATTATGAGAACATCTGCATTTAGTAGATCCTTTAGCTCCAGGGAGAGAAGGCATACAAAAATATCAGTGATGAAAATTAGCATATTTGACTTCAACAAAATATTATCTTAATCTACCACTTCGGATGACTGCCCTCATTTCTCCAACGAAAAATCTCTTCCAATATAAATAATCAATTTTAACTCCTCCATAAAATCTTCTCTAATTCTTTTTGGTCGGAGGGCAAAACACCTACTTCCTATGGTTGGAATGTTTTCCAATTTCCTTCTCATGACTAATTTATCTCTATTTGTAATTCACATCTCAAATACAAGTCATTTCTTCAATATTTAGCGATGGATTTAGCAAGCTGCCTCACTAATACTTTGCACATTTTTCTCCACTTATATTGATCTGCTTGGTGCAATAAAAACAGCCTCGGATTTTAAATAAAACACCGTGCAAAGTGCACCTTCTGCAGGTGTAGCCTACTAACCGGCAAGCACTTACATACTCGTCCACAAGCTTCAATGAAAGCCAAAGGTTTGGAAGGCAATATTTGCAGAGACAAATCTCAGTTAATTTCTGGGGAGGAGTGGCCAGGAGAGACAACAATCTTGGAAACCCATTCCTTGTTTGGTAAGTGACCACAACACTTCCTGTTTCAAATACTTACAAAGGAAGATTTCAAACACTGTGTTTTAGTACAGAATGTAAAACGTTACTCTTCGTTTGAGTCTTCCGACAAGATCTCAAGAAAGTAATACAAACTTCCTACGAAACCAGCCTCAAGAGCGTGAAGCCAGGCTGCAGACGGCTCAGCCACTAAGAGCGTGCACCGCTCTTCCAAAGGACCCGAGTTCAAGTCCCAGCACTCGAGTCAGGAGGCTCACAACCACCCGCCACTCGGGCTCCAGGCCGATCCCACACCTCGGGTCTCTGCTGGCACGTGGACTCACGTGGGACTTCAACAGAGAGAAGTCGAGGCTGGGGAGCCGCTTGTCCCCGTGTGAACCACTTGACGACGACCGCCAAGTGCACCCCACCACTGAGAGGGGGTCCCACAACCAAGGGCGGCACTGGCTGAAGACGCCCACAGGCGCTGCACCTGCCTGAGCTAAGAACGTGGGGAGGCCGGGGAAGGAAAGCCTCGGGACAAAGACCCTGACTCGGGCAGGAGAGCTCACAGACAGGGCCGGCGGGAAGCCGAGGCGGCCGCGCACGCACACTGAACGCCCCCCTCCCGCCGCACACCTGCTGAGCCAGGAGCTGCCGCCGCAACTTCTGCCGCTCCCGGATCTCCTGCAAGCGGCTGTCCATGCCCCGGCTCCCGCTCCTCACCACTCACACACCCGTCGCTCGCTAACACACAGCCGGGAACCACAGAGACCCCCGCAGAGCTTCCGACAGGCAGACTTTCACGTTTCTCAGAAAGGATTTCCGGAGCGCCCAAAACTGGCCGGCCCAGACAGGAAGTCCCGCCTCCCGGACGCCGGGGACATGACATCACGGGACGAGGCCCAATGAGGATCCTAGGTGGGCGGGGTGGAGGGGGGAGGAGCCGCTGTCGGCCGGTCAGCTCAATTTGTAACGCCTTTCTGGAAGGTTAGGTTTTTACTGATCTTAAGAAAAGTATTCGTCCTTTTATCTCGTTAACCAGCACCCACCTGCCAGTCCTGGCTTTTTAAAATTTGAGGTATGGGTGTGGGTGTGGGGACACCAGACCTTGAGCAGAGACCCACTTCCCCTTCGGCCTGGGAGTAGGCAGCTGTAAGACAATGTTTACTAAAAACATGCTTACTAAAAACAATACAATGCCCGGGGCAATAAGTTCCTGGAAAAGGCTTGCCCACGGAACCACCCTGACCTCGACCTTGTCCAAAGACTAACCGCCTCTTCTGACACGCCCAGATCAGTTTTGGGGGTCAGAGCAGAACCAGCCAGGGTAGAGGAGAGAGTAGAAGCTTCTCTGGAGGGAGCCTTTCTTAGGAAGTTTTCTTGAACCTTTTTGGGGCCTGCTTAAAGTTTTCTTTATATCGTTGAACGAGTCTCTGTGTTGTCAATCCCCGACACCCTCCCCACGTTCTCGGACACAGGCTGCGTAGCAGACGCGACATGTGGGTTTCTTTAACTGCAAAACTAACCGACTTGCGAAAGATTGGATCCCCACTCTGACAAACTGAGTGGCCTAGGCGAGTTAGGGAGATTTTGTACTAGGACAGTGGTCAGAGGGCCGGCATGGGTGCAAGGAAGTGGCTGACTTGGGAGGCTGAGGTGGGAGGATCCAGGAGTTTGGGGCCAGCCTCAGGTACTTAGTGAAATCCTTTCCAAAAAAACAGTAAACCAGAAAGTGTTGGAACGTTCAAAGAATAAACTCCTAGCACAGAGAGTCCTGGAAACGTATCATGCATTTCTCAAAAACTTTCCCAAGTTGTTCTCTGACCGCCTTATAGCTTGGCACGCAGACACACACACACACACACACACACACACACACACACACACTCACACAAATTAAATACGTTAAAGAAAAAGCCTAACCTAATTTCAAGAGAGCAGCCCTTAAAAATTATTTGCATAATAGTAGATTATGCTATATGATAAAAATGTTCATTTCCAAAAAAATGCTGTAAAACATTTGAATATAGTGTTAATATATATTTATTTAAAATTCAGTTGTATTGCTTAGTAATCATGACTGCTGATTTACATTTTTTGCCAGTGATGGGACTAGATACTTAATCACTGAGCATTTCATACGGCAAGCACTGATGAAAATACATATATTTTTTTCTTCATGCAGTTTACTGTTTAAAGAACACCTGTTTCCCTCCGTGAAGTGCTGCGCAGGATGAATTCCAGGTTTCGTTTACCTACACTGTGTTCTGAAGCAGTGATTGGGCTGCGAGTCTGATAGCTGTATATCAAAATCTCTTGCCTTCCGATGAAAATGACTGAAGGATGGACAAAAAAATCAGAAGGTGGAACAAACTAATCTATTGTTCTTGATCACTCATACTCTCTGCTTCTGCAGACCAGGGAACGGACACCATCTCTTTCTTAAAAACTCATAGCTAGTTAAAAGAGACCCACATTTTTTCAACTTCAGTTGCTTCTGAACATGCCAGCTCCCCCTTCCATCCAATGTAAGATATCCTTTAAAAATAACGGAGTGAATTCCAGCCTCCTGCATGGAAGCTGAACTGATAAAAATGGGTCAATACTATTAAAGTACTTACAATGCCAATGGGATCCATCAGAGAATTTTTGCAGTTTATACAAAGAAAGGGATATAATTCTATCTGTAATTCTATTTTAAATCTATTCCTCCCACCAGTGAATTATAAAAAAAAACCTAGACCGTATCAATACACCTGTAGATTCTGTACATGCTTATTTGTACACCCATTCACCTTGCCAACGCAAGGGTCATAAGTGTGTATGAGAGTGTGAGAATAAGAAAAAAATGTTTAAAGTCCATGTGTAGTTCACAATCCTTGAGGGAGCGATTTCATTTGTCAGCACTTCATTTAAAGAAATAATGATACACATAATTTGTACATCTGCATCCAAGCCCCTTAACAATGATACCTCCAAACCTGTGTATCAAACTTCCTGTTGTATACCTAAAAGTATCTCCCATCACTTGTCATGTTGTTTCTGTTTCTTACAAAACATCATGATGAAAATTAATTCCCATTGGAAGATGTGACTTTTAAAAATAATTTTTAGTGAATCTCCTCTTTGACAATTTCATATTTGTATTAAGTTCCAATTATTGTAGCCCTCCACCTTTCAATATTACCCACGTACCTATTACCTATGCCACATGGCCCTTACTGACACTCATGTCTTTGGGTCGTCTGCTTGTTTTGGTTGATTGGCTGGTGACTGGTTTATCTGGATTGGTTTTGTTTTGAGACCCACTGAATTTAACCAGAATTGTATGTAAGACTATGGGTTTGGAACTTTCCACTGGAGCCTGGTAGGCTTCTCAGTAGGTACATAACTGGAGACAGTGACTGCCCCTTGCCTGGAATCTGTCAAGATAGACAGTAGTTCATCAGGGAGAAGTAGTGCCCCATGAGACCTTCCCTAACCCATGATTGACTGTTGACAGACCCAGTTTTGTGAGGTCATGACTTCATGGGATGTGCCATGACCAGAAGACATGCCCTATTTCCAGTTCTTTCATTCTTTCTTTCCCGGTTCCCTGAGGCTTGAGGAGGAGGTATAAATGTCTTAATTAGGGCTGAATACTCAAAGGTTCAGTTATCCTCAGTACCTTGAGCAACCATAAATCTCTACATAGAGAGAAAGGAGATGGGACATTTAAGAGGTGATTGAGTCATAAGAATTCCATACTCTTGGATGGATTATTTGCTTTATATAAAGGGTTTTGATGGAAATTTTTCTCTTTTTTTTTTGCATTCCTGCCTTCTACCATGTAAGAATATGATGTTTCTGCCCTCTTGAAGAGACTTGCTTAAGTTAGCATATTAATACCCCGCAAAAATACAGAAAACATCATAATCTTTGACTGCCCAGATTTCAGAACTATGAGAAATAAATTTACTGTTGTGTTAATATAAAATCAACCTAAATGTATCAATTATTCTTACTCTCAAAAATATCAATCCTACTCCCCCAACAGTTCCTACTTCAAATAATAAGATTAAAAACAAGCCATTTCCTAAATGAGAAGCATTCTAATTTCCATTAGCTTCTGTATCTATATCTATTCTGTATAGCACACACATGCACGCGCGCGCACACACACACACACACACACACACCATTTTTCTACCATAACCTTATATTGATCCTGTATCCTATCCTAATTTGTCTAATCATATCTGGTTCATCCAAGTCTTCTTAACATTTGTGGAAAACTGCAAGTCTGTCATTTCAAACTTGACTAAAATATGCTGTCTAATGACACAGTTTAGTAAATCACCATAAAGAATATATGGTGTAAGAAGAAAAGCAGGGTGTGGGTCACTACAGTAGGATTTTGTGATATCAATATGTCTGCCAACATCTCCATATCTCCATATGCAACACTAGCCATCTCTCCACTGATGGATAGGCATTTACTGACTGAAGTTTGGTCAGGAATGCTCACAGGCATGTCTTAAATGTCAATGATACACACTTGCTCTACTAAACAGACACAAGTACTGCTGACCACAGCTGTCATTTGTCAACTGACCTGCCAGAACCAATACCCATTTCTTAAGTATCACACATTAGGGTCAGTTGATTTAATTTGTGTAGCTGTTTGGTGATTTTTAGTATAATAGTGTAGCATGAATTCTAATTGGTATTAATAAAAAAACCCAGAGATAGATACTGGGGTTAAAGCTAAAGATCACAGAAACAAAGCAGTCAGCTACTAGCTCTTGTCTCACCTTCAGACCAAAGGGGCGATCCTGTCCTGCATCCACTGAATCTCAGATTGCTCTCAACCAAACCTCAGACTGCACTGAGTTCCTGTCTCCTCCTGCCTTATAGTCCTCTATAGTGCTGGGATTAAAGTCGTGGCATCCCAAGTGCAGAGATCACCTTTGGTGAGCTCTGTTTCTCTTTTAGACTGGATCAATTTTGTTTAGCTCAGGGTGGCCTTGAACTAACAGAGATCGTCATCCAAGTGCTGGGATTAAAGGTATGTACCACCACTGCCTGGCCTCTATGGCTAACTAGTGTGGCTAGTTTTGCACTCTGATCTTCAGGCAAGCTTTATGTGCTAGATCATAAACACAATATCACCACATAATTTGGTTTGTATCTGGAGATAATTTTCTTGAACACGAGAGAAAACAAAGCACAGAGTTATCTAGCATAAGCTAAAATAATTTAAAGAGGGTAAAGATTTTAAAACTTCTACCCATTGTAAAATGAAAGTCATACTAGGCAAATAAAGAACAAAGCATGAAATTTTGAATTTTTTCTAAATTGATTTCACCAAAAGGGACTAAAACAAGAAAGATAGGTTTATGCTTTTACCAGTGTTATAGTAATATCCTTAATGCAAATTATTATGAGATCAGAATAAGTACTTCAGAGGGAAACACAGCAAAGTCTAATATGTAGGTTAACTCCCCGAGTGTCTTATAATTCATGTAGCGTATCATTTCAATAGTTTTAAGAAAAATTTTACTACATATTCTGTGTGTGTATGAATGTGATGTGGTGTATGCACATGTGTGGAGTTGTACATGCCTTGTGCAAGCATGAAGAGACCAAAGGAAGACGCCAGATATTCTGCTAACTAGTTTTCCACTTTATTTCTTTGAGACGGGGCCTCTCACTGAGCTTGGAACAATGCAGTGGTCAGCCAATCCTAAGGAGCCTCCTGTCCCTGCCCCTTTCCAGGTGCTGAAATGACAGGCACACAGGGTTGTGCACATCTTTTTGTGTGACGCTGGGATCTGGACTCAGGTCTCATGCTGGTGCAGCAAGTGCTCTTACCCACTAAGCCATGCCTCCAGTCCTCCTTTATTCTAATTTATTTTTGGTTGTGAGCCTAGCCTTTAATGGCTAAGCCACCTCTCCAGCCAGTTTATTGTGCTTGAAAATCAACTAAAAAATTAAGAAAAGAAAAGGCATAAGGGTTTAATTATAATTTTGAGAATATGCATTGAAATAACTTTTTATAAGGTATTCTACTATTTGGATACAACTAACAAAGTATTTCCTTTGAAACAGTAACGTACTGTAGAAACTTCCTAAGATACACAAACATATAAAAATCTTGAATGGAGTGTAATGTGGCAACACTGCTCCTACTAGACACCACAGAATAACTAATAAAAATCCCCATGCCATGAATGGACAGGAGTGGGTTACCTCCTTCGGAGCTGTTGACAAGTGAAGTCCCTCAGAACCCCCAATATTGCAGACTTTTGCCAATACTCTTGGTTTCCCTCCGGAACTTGACAGCAAGATCTTATTGTGAAGACTTAGATGATTTAAAGCATCTGTAGGGAAGGTAGAAAGGGGGAGGGCTTGGTCTGATCTTAGGCGGGACCATGTTTATTCACAGTGAGAGGGCAATTTTATTACCCTCATGTGAAGATGATCAAAATGCCTACAGAAGAAAGTGGGGTGCGGCCTCTTAAAATAGGGATAGAAACAACTTCCATAGTCCCTTAGGAAAGCTAGGAAGACACCACATGCTTGAGTCGTAGAACCTGGAGAAATCCTGCTGGTACTCATTAGAAAGCTTCATCCCTAGCCGGGCGTTGGTGGCGTACGCCTTTAATCCCAGCACTCGGGAGGCTGAGGCAGGCGGATCTCTGTGAGTTCGAGACCAGCCTGGACTACCAAGTGAGTTCCAGGACAGCCTCCAAAGCCACAGAGAAACCCTGTCTCGAAAAACCAAAAAAAAAAAAAAAAAAGAAAAAAAGAAAAGAAAGCTTCATCCCTACCCGGTAGCTTTACTAGAGCTGGAAGGTGCTATGTACACCACTGGAAGAGAAAAAAGAATCAATAATTTAACCCAGTTGTGAACCCTGAGGGCTAGAACAATGACCAGCCCAGCAGGGTATGCCCACTGGTGAACAGTGACATGAAAGTCATAGGAGTAAACATCACTTGCTAATTTAATTTAAAATCCCCACTACAAGTTGAAACCAATACCTGACACCATTATCAGAGTCAAGAACTTGTGGCTGGGCTGGTCATAGACCCTAGAGGAGAACCTACTACTATTACTCTGCTAAATGGACATGGTATTAAACTGACTCCTGATGACTAATTATACTCATAGTTTGTGGCATCGCTCAACCTCATTGGCGGGGTGTGGGAACACCAGACCTTGAGCAGAGACCCACTTCCCCTTCTGCCTGGGAGTAGGCAGCTGTAAGACAATGTTTACTAAAAACATGTTTACTAAAAACAATACAATGCCCGGGGCAATAAGTTTCTGGAAAAGGCCTGCCCATGTTAACCGCCCTGACCTCGACCTTGTCCAAAGACGAACCGCACCTTCAGACCCACCCACATCCACCTCTGGTGTCAGAGCAGAACCAGCCAGGGTAGAGGAGAGAGCAGAAGCTTCTCTGGAGGGAGCCTTTCTTAGGAAGTTTTTCTTGAACCTTTTTGGGGCCTGCTTAAAGTTTTCTTTACATCGTTGAACGAGTCTCTGTGTTGTCAATCCCCGACACCCTCCGCACGTTCTCGGACACAGGCCGCGCGGCAGACGAAACAGCAGGGCTTATTCTTTTTTTTTCTCTTCCTTTTTAA